GTTGGGCAAGAAGAAATAACACACAATAGTAGCACAAAGATTCAGTAGATAGCAACATTCGAAGCATGACCGTCCAGTAGGTCAAGTAGTGAAGAACACATAGAATATCAAAAGCATGTGAAGGTCACACAATAGCAGGTGAAGAAAATCCCTTTAGAAAAATTACGGTTTCGAGCATATTTGAGTTTTAGAGAAGATAGAAACCCAGCAATCAGAAGAATCACACAAAGGGAGCAAAAGATTTCGAAATAAAGAACTTCAAATCGAGTCATGCACTTAAACGAACAGTCTCAGACCCAAAACCCTGGGATTTTCAACAATAGGAGAGTTTTAAAAGAGAATAAGCAAACAAATCGAACAAAACTCAGGCAAACAAACATTCGTTTAGTAAACAGTTAAAAGAAATTAGGGGTTTTGACATGCAAACTCAGGTAGAAGAATGATATAAGCAAACATAGCCAAACATGTCAAAGAATCAGAGAAACATTTTGAAATAACTTAACAGAAACCCTAATCGAAAAGATAAGGGGTTTTGAAAGCAGAGTTTTAAAAGAAAATTTGAGAAAAATACTTAGAAATTCAGAGCAAACATAGATCTGAACAGATCTAAAAAGAAATCAAAGGAACCTTAAAGGCTAAGGTTTCAGAAGAACCCCAAGTGGTGAGAAAGGCTTTGAAAACCAACGATCTAAGTAGGAGAGTCAAGAGTCTGACTCAAATAGCCATGGCTAGCAGGAGAAAAAATCGGAGACGACCGGAGAACAGTCATGAACTGCAATCGAACAAGCCTAGACCAAGCTTTTTTGAGATCTAGCCTCGAGACCATAATAACCGAGCACGTAGAAGCTTTGGGAGGTGGATATAGGTCTCCGATGACTTTGGGAACCATAGATTTGGGGAGGTATTAGGGTTGTAGTTGATGGCGGTGGCTAGGGTTTGAAAGGATTATAGAGCGAGTTGAGAGAGAATGGGATTCAGAGGTGGCAGAATTTGGAAATGAGGCTAGGGTTAGGATCGTTTGAATTAAAAAAGGCAAGGATGGTTGTTGGCCGTTGATTTGAATGATCAACGGCCTAGATCAAAACAGGCGAGTGGGCGGGTTATGAAGATGGGTTTGGGTCGGATTAAATCAGAATTGGGTCGGGGGTTCAAATGGTTTCAATTGAGTTCAATTGGGGTCAGAATTGGGCTATAATCAAAATGAAATTGGGCTAACATTTAAATAGCTAATTTTCCTTATTTAATTCATAAAAATGATAATTAATTTTTGGAAATACATTAAAGGTACCAAAATGATTTGTAGCACATAATTAACTATTTAAAAATATCAGACCTAATTTTTATGAATATAAACGTAATTAATCTTAAAAGAGGCTAATGTTGTAATTATATACAATTTAACTTTAAAAATACTAAATGACTTTGTAAAAATATGCAAAAATTATATTACATATATTTTAGCATAAATATGAGAATCCAATAAATGAATCACCAAAATGATAATTTTGGGAATAATTATTGGTTTTTTATGGATAAAATAGGGCAATAAATCGATTTAAAAATCTTTAAAAATTAAGGAAAAATAATAAAATATTTGGACATACTTATATATGAATAGTATTTTGCATATTAAAATATACAGGGAAAAATTGGGTATCAACAGGCATAACTGCTCAAACTCGGCGCGCCACGCATTTCTGAGACTTTGGGGAACATACTCCCTCAAGAACATATCCGAGAACTGAGTCCAAGTAAGTGAGGCTTCCTCAGCCGGGCTATCCAACTCATAAGCACGCCATCACTGATAGGTTGTTCCTCTAAGCTGGAACGCAGTGAAAGAAACCCCACTCAACTCTGCTACACCCATCGTACGGAGGATACGGTGGCACTTTTCAAGAAAATCATGGGCATCCTCTGACGCCAGGCCACTGAAAGTAGTAGGGTGGTATTTCTTGTACCTCTCGAGCCTACGCTCATCCTCAGAAATTGTTGCCCTACCCTCGGGCTAAACTGGGGCTACCGGCTATGCTGGTACAACCTCTAGAATCTGATCGATCTGAACTCGCTGCTCTGGAGTGCGGGCGGCGGGAGTCTAAGCTCATCCCCCGACCTGAGATGTGGTAGGAGTAAGGGGAATCAACCCTGCCTGAGCTAGAGTACCGAACATGCTCAGGAACTGTGCAAGGTTCTCCTGAAGAGTTGGTGCAGTAACAGGCGTCTCAGGTGCCTACGCTCCGACTGGAATTACTGGTGGCTCCTCAGTAGTAGCTCTTGCGGGTACTCTAGCTGCACCACGTGGATGTCCTCGGCCTCTCGTGGCTCTATCAAGGTCGCGGTTGCCTGGTCATCTGATTCGGTTGTACGTGTACTCACCATCTGTGAGAGAATAGAAGACAAAAGTTTAAAATTTCGAAGTCAACAATTTCGCACGACAAGGAATCAAAAGAAGTGAAATTTTCCTAACAGTTCCATAGCCTCCCGAAGATAAGTACAGACGTCTCCGTACCGATTCGCGAGACTCTACTAAACCTGCTTGTGACTCATGACACCTATGAACCTAGAGCTTTGATACCAACTTGTCAGGACAACTCACTAAGGGAGGATTGGGTCGTGATAATCGATGTACCCTACCATTATAGGCTACCACCACTTACTACCCACCACTCATTACCACCATCCTCAACCACAACCACCACCGCTACCAAGCATGAATGTCAATTTTCACTACCTCTAGCCATCATTTACAACTATCACCGCCAACCACCATTACCATAACAATCACTAATCACCGCTATCAACTACCACTATATATCACTTGTCACTTCTTATCGGTCATCACCATTATCAAACACCACCGTTAACTACTATTCAATATTTTAAAAGGCGTTTTCATGACGAACCCTGAGGCGAGGCGCACCAAAAATGCCTCGAGGTGATGGTAGAGGGCAAAAATCACAAGAGGCATACGCCCGGGCATTGATGCACATTTTTGTAGTGAGGCGTAAGCCCAAGAGATTCAAATGAAAATAAAATTTGCTGAATAAGTCCTTAATGTAATACTCAAATTCTCAAAAGTTAGGTTGTAATTACTCAAAAGTAGGAACTGAAATATTAAATTTAAAAGTCAAGATTATTTTTATTGCTAGAAGCTTTAATTTATGGTCTTTTCCAATTTTTTATCTTGTCTTCTAGTCTGTTACTATCTCCAAAAAGCAACGAATAATCATTTTTTTTTTTTGCAAATACAAATAAAATTTCATTCTCCTAAGTTCAAAGTTCAAATTGCATGTTAGTCATTCTTTTTGTTACTCCATGTAAAAAACTTATTATTTTCGACTCAAGTTACTTGTGCTTCTAAGTATTGTATAATGGACTTGTTTGACTAATTTTTATAGGGATGTAGCCCATATATAATTTATTTATAATTTTTTCAATTTTTATGCAATTTTACTTTGTTAAAAGTATTTACTGTAATTATATTATTTTATGAAATATTAAAAATTAAATACTTGTGGGGCTTACGTCTCGTTGAGGCATATGTAAAACGTCTTGCCTTAAGCTCATACCTTTTAAAACATTACTACTACTATCATCCACGATCTTACTCACAATCATCATTAGGAACCAACACCAACTACTACCTAGTCGACACCCACAACCATCACTGTTAGCCATCATCACCACGAACCACCATTAGTACTATTTAATTTGAATTTATACTTATTAATTTTTAAATAAAGAAAACATTTACACATTCAGGCGTAGAGAAAACAAATAGTCTTAATTATTCATTTTTCACATATTTAATACAATATCATAATATTCAGATGTCTATTTAAATTAAGATGTTTTAATCTTAATAGTTAATATACATATTGATATTTAAATGTGTATTCACGTATTAATCTTAATAAAAATAATATTTGCATTTGTTCAATTAACATCTAATAAAGGCAAAATACATAGTTTGCCCCCGGAACTTAGGACCAAATCCTTGTGACACACCTTCTGAGCACGGACAACTTTTTACACATCCAACCTTTTCAAAGTGTGCCTAATACACACCTTTTTTGTCGACATGGCTAGTGCGTGTTTTACCAATAAAATAAAGCACGTGAACAGTAAAAAAAATTATTTTCTTTCTTTATTTTATTTTTTCCATTTTCCTAAACTAATTCACTGGCTATCCTCCGCCAAATCCAACATCCACCTTCCACCGTCGTTTTTCCATAATTTCTCCACCATCCTAACCAACACCCACCTGCCAAGAAACACCATACCTTCACCATTGAAGCCCGTCTCTTTTCTCTCTTTTTTTTTCTTCTCAAAACCCAGTTGTTGGTAGCAGCCATGAAAGCCCTTACCTTCTGCATACAAAATAGAGCAGTTTGAGTTAAACCCAGAAGCTAAGATCTTCAAGCCATACCATTTCTGGATTCCATCTTTGAGTTTAAACAAATATTATGCAGTTTGATGTTCTTGAGTTATAATAAAGACTTGTAATTTCTTCATTTAAAAGTGTTTTGGTAGATCTAATTATGTCAGGTTTTATGTTATGTTCCAATCCCTCGGCTTACTTCTTTTATTTTGTGAGTTTGAGTTGAATTCTCATTCTATGTAAAAAAAAAAATACTTCTAATTAAAGTTTTTAGAAGCGCAAAGACATACTTCAATGGTGTGATTTTTTTTCTATTTCTAAGTGTNTAAGGTTTATTTTAAGTATGTATTTATTTATAGTTGAGTTATGACATGTGTCGCATTTTGACTGATACGTGGATGCAGTCTCCAAACAAAAAATTGGTCAATAAAAAAGTAATGTATCTTATACACACTTTGAAAAGGTTAGGCGTGTAAAAAATTATCCGTTCTCAGAAGGTGTGTCACAGGGATTTGGTCCTAAGTTGCGGGGGCAAAATATATTTTGCCTCTAATAAAACCAACTGGGATGCCCATTTGATAACTTCATAGTGAACCGTGTATTTTAGTACATAAATTTGTACTATCTGCAGAAAGTGTTGTACTAAGATTCTATCTTGCAGATTTTTCTTTCCTTCTTTTCAAAATACACTCTTCTTTGTTCAGTATTATCAGTGGAGGCAAGAAAATATGCAGGGGTGCGCAGCTCTTTCTTGTTCTTCAAACGCTATCTCTTCTGCTCCAGTTGGTCTCTTCTTTACTCAAACACTAACACTTCCCTTTCGAAATCAAAGCATTGGATCTTCTTTTCCTGCTCAATCAAGCTTCAAAATTTTCCATGTTCGCCAAAGCACCCTCCCTCTGCTTCACTGCACTGGTAAATTCTCCTTTTTGGTGAATATGTTGATTAGTTTGAGCTTCCACTCATATTTCTTAGATTTTTTTCTGATTTTTTTCCTAACTGGGTTTCTGCACTGAATTTGCCTGCTTTCTCTGAAGAGTTTTTCCTTAATTCAACCTGCTGTTCTAATTTGTGGTAATGCAACAACAACAATGACATACCCGGTATTATCCCACACTGTGGGGTCTGGGAGGCTAGTGTGTACGCGGACCTTACTCGTGCTCTATAGAAATTTGTGGTAATGAAACATGGTTGTTTATTACAATTGTCCTCTATTGAGGATTATTTTTCTGCAATTGAGCAAAACCTGGAATTTTGTGGTATTGTCTGAACTTTTCGCTTGGCTTATTGACACTGGTTAATCTTTAGTTGTATTGTCTGTAAGTATATTTTGTATATTCTTAAGTATGATATGTTGTTACCCTAACCTTAAGCAGGTGCGAGGCAATATTTAAATTTTGTTAATCCATTACAAGTTTCCTGCTTCAAGTCAATCGCGGTAAGGTCTGCGTACACACTACCCTCCCCAGACCCCAGTAGTGGGATTTTACTGGGTGGTTGTTGTTGTTGTTGTTGTTGTTGTTGTTGTTGTTGTTGTTGTTGTTATTCAGTTATCTAGGAAGGATATCAGCTTATGATAGTGTATGCTGTCTAATTAAATTTTCATTTTCATCATGATAATACCAATTCATCTGAATTTGTTATCGTCTGTGGAGTCGGTGCAATGATTGTCAAGCATCTAAATTGGGCTAGAGTATCAAAGTAGTCCTCATTCATGAGAAAGTTTATGAACAGTTTTTATAAAATCACACAGTTCTCAAGTAAACACCTTTTTATGTCTGTCGCATTTCAGCTACTGAGGAGATCTTGGAGGCTAGCGAAACAGAGGGAAACTTTGTTGAAACTGGGTACATATATAGTGTTCATGGGCTTCAAGGAGAGGTTCGAGTAAAGGCTACTACTGATTTTCCTGAATTGCGATTTTCCGAGGTAAAAACTATCAGAAACTTAATAGTGGGGCTGAATTCTTGTTGTTGGCATGCATTTCTATATCCATTGTGTGAACTCACTATTAATTCAGCCAGGAAGGCGATGGTTGAGGCAGCAAGTCTCAGGGAGAGAGATGGTTCAAGAAATTGAACTAGTGGAGGGAAGAGGTCATCCAGGACAGAAGAGTTGGATACTTAGATTCCATGAAGTCAACACAATTGAGCAGGTGATGTCAGTGTAACGATGTAATAACATTGAGTTTTCATGACCCCCACTCTTTTGTTTTACCTCGTGCACCATGTGCCTTATCTTTTCTTTATGATGAACCAATTCTGAATCATGCATGTTCAAATCACACACTGTCATTTAAAACAAGTGGCAATGTCATGTATACTAAAGGTGAAGAACTTTATATGGCACTATCATAAAATGGACGATGTTTGGCTCATCTTTTGTCAACCAAAGACAATTGTTGCTAGCCTAGTATATGGCAGCTTACTACAATCTCATGCCAGTCTTGTGTATTTTCTGAGGCATATTTTGGAAATGGACTTACTCTTTACCCTTGGGCATAAAAGTTTGATATATCTTGTTTTTCCAATTTTCCTCAGGCTCAAAAACTTGTTGGGTCGACTGTACTGGTGAAGGACGAAGATAGACCAGTCCTGGAAGAAGGTGAATTTTACACCCGCGACCTCGTTGGGATGAGAGTTTTTCTAAAGGTTTGTCTTCCAAGGCATCAATCTGAGTTTCGCCAAAAGTAGATGTTTCTTTAGTTTAATTTCTATTGGAGGTGAGTCACACTTAGAAGGAATTTTCTAATATGTGCTCCAGGAAACTAGAGAACCAGTGGGAACTGTTATTAATGTTTTCAACAGTGGAGCTAGTGATCTCCTACATGTTGAGCTTGACTCAAATATTAGTCTGTCAGATCGAAATGGAAAGCAAAGGCTGGAAGGAGGTGCATCTGGTCCGCTTGTATGGGTTCCTTTTGTTGAAGCAATTGTTCCAACTGTTGATTTGAGTAAAAGGGAAATGTTGATTACACCTCCTAAAGGTCTTCTAGAGTTAAATATCCGTGCTGATGAGAGGTCCAAGAAAGAGAGGCGACAGCTTGTGAGTTGCTTCTTTTTCCCCATTTCACCAGAATTTATTATATTGACACTTGTTGTTACAAGGTTCTGTATTTACGTGCAATTATATCTAATCGCACATCCCATATGTCTCATCCATTTTAGTCATCCTATTTCAATTCTGTATTAAGTTTTTGGCCATCTTGTTAGGCACCACAATTCCGTCTAATCTTACTTCACCTTTTTTCTTCTTATGTACCTAAACTTGCAGTGCATATTTCCTGTCTTATCTCTTCTTATCCTAAAAACCTTACTCAATGGAGTGCTTCTCCATACCTTCAGCTTTCGGTTGACTCATTCGCTAGTTTGATATAAATAACACTTTTTGCACAAAGAGAAGTACAGATGATTGGTGCCACTTGTTAGAAGATAGTACTTGCACCATTTGCTCACATCGTGAATAGTTTTTTGTGCCTCATTGGTGTGAATCAATAAGGAATTTGATTATCAAAAAATAACATGCACCATGATAGGTTCTCTAATATCTGAAGTAATTGGTTACCCACTTTTCTCGTAGATTGTGCATTTACTATCATTAATAGAATTCTTAAATCTGTTATCTGAGCTCAATGACACGGCAATTCTTGATGAGAGTTCACACTTAACTGCTCCAGATTAGTGCTGCTCATTTGAAAAGTGCCTCTAAAGTTGCTTTTCTCTCGGTGCTTATCTTTGATTGTCGCAGGTACTTCTATAGCATTGATCTATCACTTTTGACACTGTTCATATTCTGCAATATTCAGGAATGGAAAGAGAGAAAAAAGTTTCAGAAACGCCTTATAGCAGCCAAGAAGAAATTACATGAAATGGAACAAGATCATATATTTCATGGTTTTAGATACGGCGAGAAAAACCAAAGGAGCTTCCTTGCAGACCAGATAGTTGATGTAAATTCAATGCTGCTTCAGCATGCATTGCAGAATATGAAGATGCCATATAAGAGGTGCAGCTTTTAGTTTATTTCCTATAATTTGGAATTAGATACTTGTTGACCTGCTAAAGTGTACGTCATGCAAGCTTTAGGTAGGCTAACTGATCTTTTACACCGACATCTCATATCCTAAATGTTAAGTACAAATGCAGTGAAGAAAGTAGGTTAGGTCCACTTACCTGATATTGATTTTCATACATAATGCATTGGTCTCATCTCATGATCATACTCATTCTTATTCCTTTTATTTTGGGGGTTTGGGGGGGAGGGGGGGAGGAGAATTACTATAATTTGCCTTGACAAATTCAACAATTGCTTTCTTGCTGCAGATGGAGCTTTCCAGACTTTGTTAATGCTTTAGAAGTTTCAAATACATTAAAAATATCAAAAGAATTCCTTTCAAAAGAAAATGTGGAACATTCCAGCATTTGTTCTAAAGTGCAAGAGCAGGGTCGCGGCCTCATATCTTGCGGCAAGGTTGCCATTGTTTTAGCTTTGGGAGAAATGCTTGGATGGTCTATTCCTGAACCTGTTGGCTCTCATAATAATGAGGACATTGCCTATCTGCATATCAAGGCATTGGTAGATGACAGCCTCAGACTGCTCAAGGTGGTCCTTCCTTCAGTAGTAGACTAGAGTCGGCATATTGTTTTGTAAATTTAATTCACCAGAATGCTCTCTCCCATATGGCCATTCAGGATTGAAGTAGTTGCCAGTGACTCACTTCATTCCCTGCAGCCCATTTGGGGCAAGTAATATTATGCCTTTTCTGCTATGTTTACTTTGTATACATGCAGGTGTAATTCACACGTTAGTTGCATGTCCCTTTTGTTTAGTTTTGGATATTCTCATGATGCAGGGAGATTACTTGTCTTGTTGGAGATAGTTATTTTGAACACATGATTTGATTGATTTCTTTGTCAATTGCAGACGGAGGACCAGCTGTCTGTACCTCTTATATTGGTGTGTCCTGCTGAATCTATTGAATATCTCAAACAGTTGTTCATGGATCATGACTACTTCTCTTTCAACTCCGAGAAGGTAGATGCATGCATCTTTGCTATGTAATTAGTTACATGCCAGATAGAAGCTTGTTCAGAATTATCTTATAAGGAGCTTAAATCACGTTCATCCATCATATCTTTTTTGTGTTAGATTAAATGTTACTAATACACACTTTTATCTTGAGAAAATTGCGGTTAGCACTTTGATTGCCTCACTCAAATTCTGAATATAGAGATGACCCAGTGTATTGTTGTTTACTGAAATTTTCACTCATTCAGTCATGCTTTAAAACATATATAGCAACTCTAAACAATATTGGTGCAGCTATACTTCTTCTAAGTCGTATGTATGACCTGCAGTTGTGAAAAGATCATCGTGTTATGGCCTAATCCTGTTGCATCTCCTGATTCTAGATAATCCCTTACCCTGGGCCAAATAAAGCAAAGACCAAATCATTCTCATTTACTTCCGAGGGAAGTTCTATGACATGATTATAGCCAGTGTTTTAGACTGAGATTAGAGTATTTAACAGCTGTGTAGCTACAGTTTTATTCGCTTTGTTTTTCAATTGTTTGATGTAAACTACATTCATTCTCTTTTGCGGGAAGAAAATTTTATCCTCATTATTGACCTGATAACAAGTCTACCAGCATGCAATTTCTTAGTTTTTACTCCTTTTGTGTCATTCACAGGTTTGGTTCTTGGGAGAAGAGAAACTCCCTGTTGTCACTGCATCACAGGAAGAAGAAAGCAAGCATAAAATTTTGATGAAATCACCTTGGGAGATACTCCAGCAACCAGCTGGATCAGCAGGAATTGTTACTTTGCTCTCATCACAGAACCTACTAGAGCATTTACATGTGATGGGCGTGGAGTATATTCAGGTGAGAGTTCAGATATTGGCTAGTTGTTGACTTGTGCATTTTACTTCTGGCTAAGTGCAATTGGCGTCTTGAATAGCATGTATTAGTGCCTCTTTCTTGTACTTCTAGATCTGTCTTAAATAGTATGTCAACTCTTTCTTCTCCTTGTTCTAATTGGTATTATCAGTGGTATCGTATGGGCTGTGAATCTGTGTAACTAATTGGTGCTTAATACAGGTCTGTTCTGGAAATCAAGAATGCATAAATGGGGAGTTGCTACTTGGTTTTACTAGCTCACGTGAAGCCAATGCGGGGATCCAAGTCTTCCGGGATGCTGGCTACTCGGAAGAATGCTTCAACATGGTATTTTCCATTGATTTTGCAAAGAAGTTGACTAAGAAGATCGACAAACTTCAATTTGAAGCCATTTTAAAGCCAAATCAGTACGTGGAGATGGTAGATAAAGACTGGGTTGATGTCATCCCCTCCTCACCAAACTCATATGAGTTTCATTCTTCAATTTATAGCTGCTTGAACGCTTGTCCTCCTAGTAAAGTTTGTTTTATAGACATTACTGCATGATATCGATATTTGTATACATGTATACGACTCCCAACTTACCTGCAAAAGCATAGAAGATGTTTTAGTAGCACGAGTATGTTGGTTCTTAATATTGCACGCGTGCACCATCAATCATTTGGTATTTAGCATAAGTTTTGACCCAATCCGGATAATATTTTTCATTTGATGTTCTTTGTGATGACATTAGTTTTGCTGGTGGGACTTAGAGCAGTCTTGGGAATGTGAAGAACTGGTTTTACAAATGCTAGCAGAAGAAAAGGCAAGATTATAGTAATAAAAAGGTATAAGTATATATAGGGAACGTTTTGATGGAAGACTGTTATTATTAGAACCAAAGTTGCTACGGTGAGAGGGATATCTTGCAGCATCAATCATTTAGAAGTCCAATAATAAAAAACTTTATTACTAATTTCCTTGAATATTGTACTTAAGCTTCATTTAATATAATGGAAAAATATTCAGATGTAATTCTTTCAGTTGGTTAGTAAAATCCTTTATTTACCAAAAAAAAGAAGGGAAAAAAACATAATGGAGAATTTCATCGTTTGAACCCTTGTAAAGTGGACTAAAAATACAATATCCCACTTAATATTGAATAACATTGAGCGTGAGGTATTATTAACTTGTCGATTTGGTAGTGCAATTAACCGGGTGATTGTCTGACCGACCCGACTAGCTTTTAAGACCAAATGAATTCAAAATAAAAAATAAAAAGTGCATCTAGCAAAAACTTACTCTTGCATGCGTTAAATTTCGTTGAACTTTAAGATCGTTAATCACTAAAAGTTTGAAGGTTTATGCCTTATTACAGTATAAAATTTACGTGCAAATTACATATTAATTGACACAGAATTGAATAAATAGGAATTATACCAAACCATACTAATACAAGACATGTTTTCACAAATATAGTTATCACTAAACAATAGTTACTTAATGTATGTTTTTTCCTTAATTTATTACTTAACTATGGTAATTTAATATTGTTTGATATAAACACCTAGTGCAACTAGTTTTACCCTATAAATTGTATAATCCTTCATTTCTAAAGATTAAATAATCGGAAATGGCCAAAAATATTCTTGTACTATTTGAAATAGCTAAAAAAAATATCCTCCATTTGTTTTTAGTACCAAAACTATCCATGTCGTCTATGTTTTGGACCACAAATGCCCTTAAAACGTTAGCCTTACCACTGAAGCTGACATGACAATCCAACTGGATTAAATTTATTAACGTGGCCGTCCATTTAGGCAGCCCAAACTTGGCAGAGATCCCCTCCCTTTATGCTTTGTTCTTCCTTGTTGAACCATAATTACAAAAAAGAAATCAGAAAACTGAAATACACTAAAAATAGATCTTTATTCTTGTTTGAGTTGCTCTGACTTTGAAACTCCAATTTCGAAATGTGTTAAAGTTTGTTTGAAGTTGTACCTTATGTGTCGAAGATCGAGCTTATTGATTGGGTTTTAGAGTCAACAGATCTGCGGCTCAAATTTTAATTCAAATGGTTGATTATGTGTAGCCATTCTTTGTGTGCCAAAATTTGAAAACAACTTATGATTTGAAACCATCTTGGTGAATTTTTTTTTAGCTGTTGTTGGGTTATTGAAAATAATTGCTCTCAAATTTTAAGAGTTTTAATTGTATGTTACTGTAAATTGCTTTGATATTGCGAGTGAAGCTGAAAATTGAACTGTAACAACTGATTTCTTGGTTTGAACATCTGAGCTAAAATCTGTTGAAATTCTAGAGAGAGAATTTCTGCAAATGTTGAAAATTGTATTCTTTAATCTGATGAATAAAATGTACTATACAAGCTATATAATATTCACATGTGTCTTCCACTAACTATCTAACCACTAACTGCTTTTGTGCACGCGTGTTAAAGAAAGAAGAGAAGAAATACATAATTAATGAAATACAGCTGGCAATCAATGTACTAACGGATGAGATGAAAGAACTTAGATGGAGAATGTTGCATTAGATTATGCCACGTGGAGACCTAAAATAAAGAGCCCAACTCTATATCTCACAACTATTTGCATTGCAACCTAGTCGCCTTCAGCCTGTATCCAAATCTGGAGATGTTACGTCTCCAACACCCCCTCAAGTTGGGAGGGGGAGAAAGAACGCCCAACTTGCCGAGTAAATCCCAATGAAGAGACCCAGATAGGGGTTTAGTGAAGATATCGGTCAACTGTGAGTGAGAGGGCACAAATGACAAAGAGCTAAGGCCGACTTGGATCTGTTGCCTCACGAAATGGCAATCAAGCTCAACATGCTTGGTGCGCTCGTGAAAGATAGGGTTTTTGGCGATATGGATGGCTGTCTGACTATCAGAGTGGAGAGCAACTGGCAACTGGGGCGGAATGGAGAGATCGTCGAGTAAATGAACAAGTCAAGTAAGCTCGGCAACGACACGACACATAGAGCGATACTCAGCCTCCGTGAAAGATAAAGAAACAGAGGGTTGTTTCTTTGATTTCCATGAGACTGGGCACCCACCAAAACTGATGAAGAAATCACTAATGGAATGCCGGGAATCAAGGCAAGAACCCCAGTCAGAATCACAAAAAACAATAAGCTCAAAAGAAGGAGAATCAGACATGAAAAGCCCCAAACCAGGGTCACGAAGAAGGTAGCATAGGCAATGTTTGGCAGTAGCAAGATGAGGAACACGAGGGATAATGAACTCACTCAGATGCTAGACAGCAAAGGACAAATCTGGGCGCGTGTGAGTCAAAAAATTCAACTTGCCCAACAAGCGGCGATACAACATAGATCAGACAAAAGATCACCCTGATCAGCAAGAAGTTTGCACGAGGGATCCAAAGGAGAATTAACTGGAGAGAGACCATAGCAATCAAATTCATAAAGCAGCCTCCATGGTGAATTTGTGTTGGCTCAAAATCAGACCAGAATCAAGGCGAAGCACTTCCATTCCTAAAAAATAAGATAAGCATCCCAAATCCTTAATTTTGAATTCTGAGTCAAAAAAATGCTTAAGCTCATTCAATTCTTGCATGTCATTCCTCGTTAGAAGTATGTCATCGACATAAACGGCCACCAAAGAAATAGAAGAACTAACCTTTTATAAAAAATAGAGCAGTCATTTAGAGAGTGAGTGAATCCTTTAAAATTCAAGGCATATGTCAATCTAGCATACCACTGCCTTGAGGCTTGACGAAGCCCATATAGAGACTTCTTAAGGCGAAAAACCATGTTAGGTGCATGAGGTAATAACCCAGTAGGGAACTTCATATAGACTTCCTCGTGCAAATCACCATGTAGAAAAGCGTTATTAACACCCAATTGATACAATCCCTAATTTTTCTTCACTGCCAATGTTAAGATACACTGTATGGTGGTCAGTTTGACCACAGGAGAGAAAGTCTCCGTGAAATCAATCCCTTCTCTTTGTATATCCCCTCTAATAACCAACCGAGTTTTTAACCTTTTCGGGCTACCATCAAACTTGAGTTTCACCTTGTAAACCTATTTACAAGGTAGTGCCTTCCTACCTTGTGGTAAAGGAACCACTTCTCATGTCTCATTGGTGACTAAAGCAGCAATGTCCTTGGCCATAGCTTCTTGTCAGTCTTGCATGGCTGCCTGGCAATATGAGGAAGGCTCTTGAATGAGGGAAAGAGAAGTGAGTGGCTTTTGGTTAGGAGAAGATAATGCACTAAAATAAAACTGCATAGGAGAAATAAGAGAGAGAAACAAGGAGTGGAAACATCAGTTGAATGAACTGCACAACAAATATAGTCACCTAGGTAAGCAGGTGTTTTGTGATCCCTTAAAGACCTGCACAAAACAATCCCAGTAGGAGGTGGTAATTGTGATAAAGAAAGAAAATAGTCAGTAATAAGAGGAGAAGGAGAAGAGGATTGTAAGGAGGAACTAGAAGGAGAAAGAGTATGAGGGGATTGAATAGAAGAAGTATGAGATGAAGGAGTAAGAAGCATAAGAGAAATAGGAAAGGAATAATTAGAGGGAAAAGGAGAAAATGAAACATAAGAAATAGAAGAATATTCTGTAGGATCTGAATGACCAAATTGGAATGAGATAAGCATAGAGTAATCCGAGGATTAGTCTGTAGGAAAGAGAGGATAATGAAACTTAGTCCGTGAATTAGAAAATGGAAAAATGGATTCATGAAAGATAACATTTCTGGAAGTAAAAATATTTCTAGTTTGGAGGTCTAACAATTTATATCCCTTCTTCCCAAAATGGTATCCAATGAACATACAAGCAGTTGCCCTAGGATCTAATTTCCCTCTATGATATGGTAGAGTAGAGGCAAAATATAGGCACCCAAAATATTTGAGTAAACTGTAATTAGGAGATTTCTGAAATAAATCTCATAGGGTATTTTATAGTGAAGTAATTTAGAGGAAAACCTATTTATGAGAAAGGTGGTTGTTAGTAGACATTCTCCCCAAAAGGCAATAGGGACTTTTGAATGAAAAAGAAGGCTCTACAAGTTTTCAATAAATGTTTGTGCTTTCGTTCAACAATTCCATTTTATTGAGGGGTACCAACACATGATGTTTGGTGTAAAATGCCCTTAGAAGTAAAATAAATGATGACCGCAACACTGCTCCCTAGTTCAAATGCATTGTCAGACCTTATGGTCTTAATTTTGGTATCAAATTGCCTCTCAATCATAGAAAGAAAAGATTGAAGTACTATAAAAGTATTACTCTTAGTACTGAGCAAATATGTCGTCATCAACAATTATAAGAAAATACTTAAACCCATCATGTGTATGTGTTATATAAGGCCCACAAATGTTTATGTGAAGAAGTTCAAATATATGATTGGTAGAAGTGGTGCTATTAGGAAAAGGCAATTTGTATTATCTAGACATAGGGCAGATGGTACAAGAAAAAATATCTATGTGGAATTGGATTGTGTACAACCAAGGATATGTCTCATAGCATAAATAGGTAAATGACCAAGCCTTACATGCCATAAGCTATCACAAGAGACTACATAGCTACTCATGGAATATGAAACATTAGATGTAGTAGAAATATTTACAATGGAAGATGGAATAACTTATTTAGTTTTATTTTCTATGTACAAGAATCAGAAAAGCAATGTGTGAAGTAA